CCCCTCCCCCTTCCTTTCCTCCCCTCCCATCCGGCCGCGCGCCCCGGCTTACGGAAGATTCCAGAAAACGAGAAGGGCGGGAGCTGCGGCATCTCGTACTCTACCCGGGGAGGGCACTATTTCCCCCTCTCCGCCCTGGCGTCCGAAAAACCTCGAGTGGGCGACCCGCTTCGAGCGCTCGTGCCCGGCCCTCGGGAGCGCGCGCCCCGCATTGCAGCCGCAACCACGTGTCTGCAGCATGTGGCATCTGGGCCGCGGGAGCCGTCCGGCAGCGGGAGCGCTCGGGTTTACGAAGTGGGTAGCCGGTTCCTCGCGACGCCTTCTCTCCCATAAATTTCTTGGCTTGAGTCATTACTACTCACTACAGAATATGGACATTCCCTTAGGCGGTATATTGCCTCGCCTTCGAAGTGACAACCTCCAACTAAATATAGCGTGCGTTGGAGAAGACATGCCTTATTTGGGCCATGGGTGAAAAGGATGGGAAGCATGAATTAAGCGTAAGCTGCCGTTGCATTTTAGTCTTTGGTGCTTACCGTTAGAGGCAGGATTTTACTTAACATTTCCTTCTCCGGGCTTTGTCCACTGGTCCGCCATTATGGGAATCAGTTTACACGTGAATGAGTGAAGCTGTTTCTAGGAACTTTGAATCGCATCCTGGAAACATCACCTGGCAAAGATCGTTATTTTGCTGGGCTGCTTCTGCCCTTATGTTGACCACCACAAAGATATAATTAACTAGTCTGATGGCTTAAGGATCCATTTCTCTAGCCTACTGTGCCTTTGATGAAATTCCACAAGCAACTTAATGGTATAGGAGAGGACAACCCCCAAGACTTGATCAGTGAAGATCAGGTGTTCTGGTGTGATGTGGGGTTTTGGGTTTTTTCCCCATTGTTGACCTACCTTTTATCTTAATCACTTAAGTCACAGTCATCTATAAGGGTTTGTAGATTGTCTTGAGCTTTTGGCTTGACTGCAATAATATTTTGCTTTAATTGTTTTGCATGGTTATACAAAATTCAGGAAAGTGATATAAGGGGTATTTCTGTTCCTCCCTCTCCCACTTTTAATTAGGTGACAATTTAGTGGAGAGAACATTGACAAGGATTCAGAATACGTTTGGGTATTTCCCAGTCTTGTTCTTAAGATTACTCATAACAAAATCAAATGATTCACCATTTATTCATTTTGTTCATAAAGTGTCCTTGCTTTCGTTGTTTAACTCTTGAATTGACGTGATTTCTCTTTGCCCTAATTGGTGTTCCTCAGGATCAGGGAGAATTGATAACAAGATAAACAAAAAACGGTTCACTTCTCCGGTTGGTTAGATTTATAATGCACACTTCAAACTTTGGGGATAAAATGTTAAGTACTACTATTTGAAAAGCAATACTCTAAAGCTAAGCATTTCCTAGCATTGCTTTTGGAATCGAAGGTAAACCATTTTGTTTCTGCTTTCACTTGATCTCAGTGATGTGGCTATTTAATGATGGAAATAGTTTTGCCTGGGAACATTTTTCAAAATGTCTGGAATACTTTAGAGTTGGGATTGAAGTCTGTGTCAGGTATAAAGTGTATATGCCATAATGAGTTTAAATGTTTTTTAATTAAATACCAGGTGTTCTATTGGCCTATCTGAATTGGTGTGCTTGTGGTGCAGCTATAATAAGACCATGATGTCAGGTTTTCAAGTAACACGCAGCACTACATCCAGCATTTATTCTTCAGGCAAATGGCTTCTGGCAAAGTAGTGCTTTAATTATACAGTAGCTAGGTATGGCAGTAAGATCTCCATACTTGGAATATGACTGAATTATATACTTGAAAATGTTTAAATTGGTAAATTTCGTTATGTAGGTTTTACCATAGTTTTAAAAAGAAAGCTCTACCAAAGATCTTTACAGCTGTGGTTAAAAGGAAGGGAGCATGACATACTTAATTAACAGTAAAGATATTGAGCCAGGAATTATTTTTTTCCAGATAAGATTTGTGACCAGATCAGTGATGCTGTCCTTGATGCTCACCTTCAGCAAGACCCTGATGCCAAAGTGGCCTGTGGTAGGTTCAGAACAGTGCTTATCAACTGATGAAATGGCAGCATCATGAAAATTACTTTATAAAAATGACATTTGATTGTGAACTTTTTTTTATTAGAAACTGTTGCTAAAACTGGAATGATCCTTCTTGCTGGGGAAATTACATCCAGAGCTGCTATTGACTACCAGAAAGTGGTTCGTGAAACCATTAAACACATTGGATATGATGATTCTTCCAAAGGTATGTTTTAATGAGTTGGCTTTTCTACGCTTCTCATTTTTCCAGATAGTTTCTTAAGCCTTCCCTATCTGTTTTCCAGGAGGTTCCTGCTAATCTTAATTCCAGTTGTATAGTTTTGTTATCCTTTTGTTTCAGCCCTATTCCATTCTCTAAAAATATTAAGCTTTAGGTATATTAGATGAAAATCCACATGTAATTTTTGACTCCCCAAAAACTCAGTCATCCCTTGGTACCAGGACCTCTCTAGCATACCAGAATCCGAGGAGTCTCAAATTTCTTACATAAAATAGAGTAGGATAATGTATACAGTTGACTGGCCCTCCACATCCGTGGATTGAAAATTCTTTTCTAGTCTGCCGTTGGTTGAATTAGTGATGCAAAACCTTGGGAATACAGATGGCTAAGTGTGTAAGTGGGACCCGCACAGTTCAGCACAGTTCAAAGCCATTGCATCTGAAAAATTTCTTGTTGAGGATACAATCTATCGTCTATAGCCAAGTGTCAGATTTGTTGTGCAAGAGCGAACTGTATTTAGAATTCCAGTAATTGTTGTAAAAAGGTACTGCTATAGCTGCTTTTTTTTTTTTTTTTTTTTTAAATAAGACATTGTTCTGTTATAGGGTTTGACTACAAGACTTGTAATGTACTGGTGGCCTTGGAGCAACAGTCACCAGATATTGCTCAAGGAGTTCATCTTGACCGGAATGAGGAAGACATTGGTGCAGGAGACCAGGTATTTTTGTAGACACTATCTGCATCTTCTAACATTTAGTTCTAAGGCTTGGATTGATCACACTGGTGATTTTTCCTTTTTTAGGGTTTGATGTTTGGTTATGCCACTGATGAAACTGAGGAATGTATGCCTTTAACCATTGTCTTAGCACACAAGCTCAATGCCAAACTGGCCGAACTGCGCCGCAATGGCACTTTGCCTTGGTTACGCCCAGATTCTAAAACTCAAGTAAGTGATGACCATAAAGCTAGATTACACATATTACATTGGTCCAGAGCATTAGTGAAGCTGTTTGATTAAAGCTAACTGAAAAAAGAATAGCATTTGTCCTTTGTATTATAACTTAGGGTGGAAGACCTAGAGTAAAGTCATTGTTTAGTAGATGGTGTTCTCATTATCTGTGTTGCCTTCAAGGTGACTGTGCAGTATATGCAGGATCGAGGCGCTGTGCTTCCCATCAGAGTCCACACAATTGTTATATCTGTTCAGCATGACGAAGAAGTTTGTCTTGATGAGATGAGGGATGCCCTAAAGGAGAAAGTCATCAAAGCAGTTGTGCCTGCAAAATACCTCGATGAGGATACAATCTATCATCTACAGCCAAGTGGCAGATTTGTTATTGGTGGGCCTCAGGTAAGGCCTTATAATGTCAGTTCAGTTCTTTTTTGGATTTTTCAGTGATGGTTACATGCAAAAATTTGGCTACTACCACCTCTTTTTCTAGGTTTCTTGAAGCCTACATCTGAATCATCCGAGGATATTTGCTGAATGATACAGGATAGGCATTTAACAACAAACTTGATCTAGAACCACTTGCTGAAAATGATAAGACAGAAAGTGACTAAATCCTGTAATTTCAGGGTGATGCTGGTTTGACTGGCCGGAAAATCATTGTGGACACTTATGGCGGTTGGGGAGCTCATGGAGGAGGTGCCTTTTCAGGAAAAGACTATACCAAGGTGGACCGTTCAGCTGCTTATGCTGCTCGTTGGGTGGCAAAATCCCTTGTTAAAGGAGGTCTATGCAGAAGGGTTCTTGTTCAGGTATATACTTTTATAAAATGACTGATTAAAAGGCACGTTAGTGTGGGAGGTAGAGGGCATTTAGTAGTTAACTACTTGTCTTTTTTTTTTTTTTATTAATACCACTGTATTATACAAGTGTTATGTGGGTCTTTCCATGTCTGATTCTTACGATGTTTGAATCCTTTTAGGTCTCTTATGCTATTGGAGTTTCTCATCCATTGTCTATCTCCATTTTCCATTATGGTACCTCTCAGAAGAGTGAGAGAGAGCTATTAGAGATTGTGAAGAAGAATTTTGACCTCCGCCCTGGGGTCATTGTCAGGTAAAGATGGTAAAGCCTATTGCTAGTGACAAATATTGAGGGTGTGGGGTGTGTATATATTTGAGATATATTCAAATCAGAGTAAGTAAAGGGTGTGAAGGAAGACTCCTCAAGTGGGGAAACGTTGTAATTCCTACAGCGTGTTGGTGTTATCTTTTAAATTGTCTTCAGTAAAAGCTTAAATTAGGAAAAATCCAAAAGCATAGTACGCTGTGGCTTAGACTTAACCACCCTAGAAAATCTTCCACATTTGATAATGGGCTTTTTGCTCATCTTACGAGAGAATGTTTATTTAAAAGGAATTAGTACAGATAAATGGGATGTTCGAGGCTGTTATAAAGAAAATAACCATGGTGTAGAGTGTGGGCAATGGGACCTTGGTAAGTATTCTGTAATCTCAAATGAGCTTTTGACGCTTGAAATTTCTCAGAATAATGACAAGTTTTCATATTTGTTGAGCCAGGGACGGAAAAACAAGAACTGTAGTTACTAATAAGGACTGTGCAAGGAGTTTGGACACCAGGGAAGTAACAAACACTTTCGCCACAAACTTTTTTCCTAGCATACCCCAGAGAACTGAACTCATTTGCCAGAAGTCTTGAAAATGAGTCTTGCTGATTGTTTTGCTTTATTTTAATTGAATGCTACATATTAAGTTACGGACTTGTATATTCCAGGGATCTGGATCTGAAGAAGCCAATTTATCAGAGGACTGCAGCCTATGGCCACTTTGGTAGGGACAGCTTCCCATGGGAAGTGCCCAAAAAGCTTAAATATTGAAAGTGTTAGCCTTTTTCCCCCAGACTTGTTGGCGTAGGCTACAGAGAAGCCTTCAAGCTCTGAGGGAAAGGGCCCTTCTTCCTAAATTTTTCCTGTCCTCTTTCAGCTCCTGATCAGTTGCAGTCACTCTAGTCAATGACATGAATTTTAGCTTGTGTGGGGGACTGTAAGTTCGGCTTGCTATTCTGTCCCTAGGTGTTTTGTTCACCATTATAATGAATTTAGTGAGCATAGGTGATCCATGTAACTGCCTAGAAACAAACCAACAACACTGTAGTAAATAATGCTTTGAAATTGAACCTTTGTGCCCTATCGCCCAACCCCCTAAAATTCTAATTGCATTGACTTTCCCACCAGATGCTGAAAATGTCCTTGTGATGTGCACGTAAAGTACTTGTAGTTCCATTATAGCCTGTCTGGCAATGCCACAGCCCTGTCAGCATGAATTTGTAATGTCTCAAGCTCTATTATGAATGTGAAGCTTTCCCTTATCTTCCCTATAACTTGATCTATTTCTAATTATGTAGCTCTTTGTCAGGGAGTGTTCCCTATTCAATCATTCTTGCATGTAACGCAAGTTCCAGTTGGAGCTCTAGCCTGACATTTTTTTAAAAAGGCAGTTACCATTAAACCATCTCCCTGGTGCTTATGCTCTTAATTGCCATCTCTTAAACAGCACCAAATCTTATCACTCCATTTATTCAGCTGTCTTTTGGAGGACGTACGTAATAAGGTTTTTATTCAGTCAACCAATCCTATGCATGGTTTCAGCACTAGCCAAACCACCAACTCCTAGCTCTAGAAAAAACAGGCACTTGGCACCCTTGTGATGTCATACAGAGAAGTCACAGGGCAGTACCTGAGGGTCTGTAGGTTGCACACTTTGGTACCAGATAACTTTTTTTTTCTTTATAAGAAAGACTAAGTATTCCACACTGCACAATAACTCCTCCCAGGGTTTTAACTTTGTTTTATTTTCAAAACCAGGTCCAATGAGCTTTCTGAACAGCTGGTGTAGCTACAGAGAAACCAGCTTCCTTCAGACAGCAGTGCTTTTGGCGGGGAGGAGGAAAATCCCTTCATACTTGAACATTTTCTAATTGCTTATTTATTGTATTCTGGGGTATGGCGTAAGTACAGAGAAGCCATCACCTCAGATGGCAGCTTTTAAAAGATTTTTTTTTTCTTCAACACCATGATTCCTTTAACATGTTTCCAGCGTTCCCAGGTAGGCCAAGGTGTCCTACAGAAAAACCTTGGGTTAGACCTACAGGGGGTCTGGCTGGTGTTAACAAGGGAGGGCAGAGCTGGTGCAGCTAGCCATGGAAAAAGCAGACCTGGCTGGTGTGGTACAGAGAAGCCAGCTTGTTTACATGCTTATTTCATGACTGCTTGCCCTAAGCAGAAAGTGCCTTTCAGGATCTATTTTTGGAGGTTTATTACGTATGTCTGGTTCTCAATTCCAACAGTTTAATGAAGATCTAAATAAAATGCTAGGTTCTACCTTAACTGTGTTCATTATTCTTTAAAAATAGTTTGATGGGAATATGATCGGAGAACATACTTCTTTTAACTGATAATTCTACCCATGGTTCAGAGAAATCACTTTAAACCTTCAACCTTGACTGCAGGCATTTAATAGGTTTGTAAATCCTATCCCTAGTGCTAATTAAGAAAGTTTGAGATTTTTGGTTTGTCAGTGTCTTGGCTTTGTTGACCAAAATTTCTCGTCTCATTGCAGCAGCCACTCTTGTACTGCCAGTCATGCTTTAAAGGCATAAAAACCACTAATAGAGTACAGGCTTCCTCTACCAAAAACTTTCGTAAGCCAAAATGGCATAAAGTGAAGTTACTGTAACAGCTTTTTTCATAGTCCATTGGGTCATCCATTAGGTTAACAAAAACAGGCACTAACAAGTCTTATAAAAAGATGAAGTGGATTAAAGTGAACTGGAAAGCTATAAGGGGATACCTGTATAATAACATGGAGTGGTTATATTCAGTCTTGAATAATTAAAACCCATGCCCCTTCGTGGCTAGTGTGAAAAAGTTGAATATACATACCTTAAGCACTAATCTGTTTAAATAAGTGTGAAAAGCTGCAGATTATATATGTTCAGTACACAGTTTGAAGTGTTTTTTAAACGGGCCAGCTTCCAATCTATTAAGGTACATGAACCGCAGTGAAATTAAAACAAAAGACAAGTTTCCAAAGGCAGCTTGTACAAAGTCTTTATCCTTTTGTAGCCATAGGAACTATATAGACAAACCAGCTGGGACATGTTTACACCAGCATATATGAAATCAAGTGGTGATTCAGCCTTTAAAACCTGCATATCTTTGCCTGGAAGCTTACAAATTTGGAAATACACTGGGGTAGGCAGGGTTAAATCTTACTTGGCAGTTTTAATGGAGCTCTAATAATTTGCTCAGATCCTTGAAATTCAACATTCCATGACACTGAAAAGCTCCAGAACGTTTCAAAACATTTAGATGTTAATGTGTTGCTGCTTAAAGACAAGTATAACCATGTTTGCCAAATAAGGTGATTAAGGATGGGAAGGTGGGTGCTTATAGGCTGATGGAGCACTTTTCTTTTACTCTGCATTCTCACTTCGTGCCCAGTGCCAGGCCATTGAATTTTCACGGAATTGAGGTTCCTTGGTCAACTTTATCAAAACAGAGTGACTGTAAACATTCCCTAATCCCTCACCAAGTTCAGTTAATTCTTACATCACCTCACTAAAGGCTAGAATAATGCTAAATACTAAGCTTATTTTTAAAATACTACCCATCTAAATTTCCTATTTAACTTTGTGCTGTTCTATAACTGCTAGTGAAAATTTTGCTGTATGAATAGAAACAAGGAACAATTACAGTGAAGAGAAAATTTCTCTGTACATTTAGAACCTGGTCACCATCCCAGTCATGATTAAGACAAGTTTTAAGGTACGTTATTTCAGAATTATTGTCAGTGATTTGGCTTAAGTCAGGCTTTAGGTTTAAACCATCAATTCATTCCTTATGTTTCTGTCTGAGCAAATTACCTCTCAGCCTTAGTTTCTCTAACTGTAAATACATAAGATTAATGACCATTAAAGACTAAGTAATGTAGGCACAGTGCTTCACCCAGTGCCTTGCATATAGCAAGCACTCATGGTACATTAAATCTTTTCCCAAGGAGCCAGTCGCTTTAAATATGACTCTTCCTCCTTTATCCTAGGACATTTTTCACATTGCTTTTAAACCCTCTTAGCCCCTCAACCTTGGATTGATAAATCTTATTCTTACTTTACTTCCTTGGCTCCTCTAAGTGGTCACCTCTGAATTCAAAAGCTATGGACAAGGAAGAAAAACAATTTTTTCAAATTTCCGCTGCATAGATGATGATCCTTTGACTTGGCTGCTCCCACATCTGTACCCAACAGTCTGGCCTCCTCAGAACTCTGAGTGGACAGGGTTGGAATTTGGTTCAGGAGGATTAGGCTCTGAAGAATCTGTGTTTGAAGGACTGGACTCTCTAACTGGCTCAAAGGGTCGCAAGTTTGCATAAGTCACCTCTTGGGCCAGCTGCTCCAGCGAAGGGCGGCCTAATGCCAGATTTCGAAGTGATATACAAGTCATCAGAAAGCTGAAAAAGGGAAAAAGGCCATCCAGTCCAAACTTTCAACATAAGAATTCCTGCCAAAGCCCTTTGGGGGCACCTGATCCTACCTCCTTTCACCCAGGCATAAATGAGAATCCCCACAGAGACCCACCCCGCCTCCAATTCCAGCTGGAAGGACAACCTACTCCTTATACAATCTGGTAGAGGATTCCAGGGTAGGGTAAGAATAACCCACAGAGGCTGGAGATAAGCTCAAGCAGAGCAAAGACAGACACAGGTCATTTACTCTTCCATTAAATCAGGGAGGAAAATGGAGAAGGAAAAAGATACTTAGCCCTAGATTGTCCTTTCCTGAGAAAAAGTCCATGCTGTTACCCTCACTAGAGAAAAGTTACCCCGCTTGCAAACATCTGATGGCATGACAAGTACTGTTGTAAAACTTACCTGCGACGAAAGATATAGAGCTTTCGCACCAAGAAGTGGAAGAATCGCTCATGGAAAGGGGTGTTTCGCCGGCGTTCAATCTCCTGCAGCCTTTGCTGGCGTTTAAGAAAGGTCTGAACCAGAGGTGTTGGCTCAGGGCCCCCTTTTACTTCCCCTTCCAGCAGAGGTTGCAGCTCTGGTGGTAGAGGCCCCATCTCTGCCCAGAACACAACAAAAAGAGGAATCACCAAGAAAGATCATTCACTCTTAGAACTTCTCTTTCACCAACCAGAGGCTTCAAAGTTCATTCTTTAATGGCTAGAACCTCGTTTACAATCCTGATTTCTTGTAACCAGGGACTACCAAAGCCCAAATCTTTATATACTCACCACTTCCATTCTCCACTTTCTCTTTTAATTCTTGCAGATATGCCAGGTCTTGCTCCAGTGCAAGCTCTGTAGTGTTGACATAGATGTACATGTAGCAGGAAGGACTGGGCGATATCGTGTACACCTTATGGTACTCACCAGCAGGCAACTGACAAGGGGAAGAAGTGGATATATTTCATTCTTTAAACTCCCTAGCCAGCCTATGGGCTACTTACACTACCCACTCCCCCACTAATCAGGCATCTTTCCTCTTGTGTTTTGGAGTCCAAAGAAGGTGACCTCTAGAATCCTGGATGAGGCTATTCACAGCCCCAGGGGCCCTTGCTTTCTGAGCCCCCACTGCATTACTGCTACGGTAAAGCATTTTGAGTCTATAATAAACTCCATTTGTCCAAACTTTTCTGCCATTGTTAATTCAAGCAAAATACCTGCATTTTTTCTCCCTCCTGAAGAGTCCAGTTCTTCTGTTCGGCCACCAACTCCACAGTCACCTCCCCTTGCAGTAGCTGGATACTCGTGTTGCCCAGGTCTTCACTCACAAAATTCTCCAGGTACAGCCCTGACAAGTGCAATGAATTTCCCCAACCCATACCATGGTAGAGTGAACCTACTCCGCCAGAATAGAGACAGCACACCTACCACCACCCCTCAAATTTCAAAAACATTCTTCCCACCAGGATTGTCCTCTTCCCCCTCCACCACATGCAATGCCCTTGGCCAAGGAAGCCAGGAGGAAAGATGGTAAGGCCTCTCCTTGCTTTCCTCCATACCAGGGAAATCTGCAATGAAGACCACCTCAGTGTGGTTGTCCAGGCTGCTCTTGATTTCCTGTAACTTGGTCCTCCAGGGAGACAGGTCCATCAACAGTGGCTTCAGCCAAGGTGTACGCTGGAAGGGGGACCAGGCAGCCTGCACAATGTCCACACGAGGGTCAAAAATCCTTAGGAAAGAAAATCATGTCTTAAGGAGGCCACCTACCCACCAGAATCTCCAGTTCTGTTTTTTATCACCATTCTCAGAGGGAACAGGGTTCCCAGATAGAAGAAATGGCCTATGTCAGCATGGTATTACCAGTCTGGGGCAGAAAGAGAGGGGAAAGAGATTCTGGAGCACTGCGAAGAATGAGATTAGTGGCAACCTGAGAATTGTGTTAATAGTTTCTAGAACAAGTCATTACCTTTTCTTCTGGATGATGGTGCCCCCTGCTGGAAGCAATCAGCTATGCCCACAACCACGTCAACAGAGACATGCACCAGAGGACAGCCTTCAAGCAAGACAACACTAGGGAGCAACAGCTATTCATCTTGGCAAAAGGAGCTGGACTTCATTTTTCCCCCTTCTCTGCTCCCCTTGCCCACCTCTGCTGGAAGCGGTCATTCATGGAGACCCAAATATCAAAGTAGATCTGGGGCTCAGTGACATTGTACTTGGGAAGCAGGCGGCTCAGGCAAATGGCATATTGCTTCAGCATGTCTGCATGATCCTTCCATCGCCGGCTCTGTGTGAATACCTGTCCCAAATCCCCATATTAGTCCCACCTCATTGTTATATGGGTGAGTCATGCACTGCCAATGGCACAAAGAGATCCCTGCCTGCTGCACGTTTTGACTAGGAAATAAAACAACTTGTCTTTGGGGAAGAATTTTTCATTGCTGGGCTAGTGGTGGTACTTACCTTTCTTAAATCTAATCTCGATTTTTGTAGAAGTGAATGACATTGCCCTATATCAACCCACATGAAAGAAGGTTCAACCTGGCTCCTAAGGAAGGGGGCAGAGTGACCCAATTTTATTTTATAATTGTGTTTAGGACCAAATCAGACCCCAAAGCTCAAGGGAGATCTCTGAAGAACAGAAAATTGTCAGCATCAGACATCTCACCCCAGGGTTCAGGTAGCCCAGCTCGCCAGTGCGGCCATCACGGTAGGTGATCTTCACATGCTGGTGGGAGCGGGAGTGCATCATCATGTCCCAGGAATAGCCATATAGCCCATTCGTCCAACTGTTATATCCCTAAGGAGGCAGGGCGGAAGAAATCAGCTCAGTGGTTCTCACGCCAATCCCATCCTCCACCGAGAAAGGGCTACAAAAGCAGCCCTGTTCTTTCCCTCCTGCTGTCACCTCTGCCACTTTCCAAGCTAAATTCCAGCCTATACATACCTGGGTGAGGAAATGGGAATAGGGCAGGAAGAGCTGCTCCAGAAGGTAGAGAAGGGTGAAGGCAGCACCTAGCCGATGGCGCAGCCCTGGCTTCTGGCCACCTTTGGCCCTGCTCCTCTTATACATGCAGGAAGCACTGGGCTGAGGGGTAGTCTTAAGGGGCAACAGTTCTTGCAGCCTTTTGGGACAGTGAGATACCAGCTTCCGAGGCCACTCAGGGCAGCAGAAGAGAGGGCTGCTGGCCAGCATGACATATGGGAACATACCTAAAAAAGCAGGGAGAAAATAAGCATTTCGGGAGTTACGTTGTGGGAATGTGGGTAATCCCCTGAACCCCTTCCCCCTAAGGAAGCTTCTCCCAAGAATTCCACTTATGATGAAAGAAGTTCTTAACCAAAGGATACTTACTTCCCAGAGATTCCTTACTATACAACATACTGGCTGAACCCTAAAGCCCCAATCATTTCCCCCTGTTTACTTCCATTTCTCAGTGACTATATCTGGCTCCTGTTCCCATCACTATCTCCTACTCCCAAACAATGCCTCTGGCTAGTCCTTTCCTGAAAAACTGTGGTTTCCTATTTCCTACCAGACTACAAGTACTGACCAATGCTGAAAAGCTGGGAATTCATGCAGTGAAAGTAGGATACAAAGAAGAGGCCGACGGGTCTTGAGGCATCGAAGAAGAGCAGGAAACCAGCTGACAGGTCAAGCAGCAGTCCACACCAGTGCACTACCAGTAGACTAGTCATCTCCTCAGACAGTACTAGCCTGTGGACACCAGGGACAAAGATCAGGCACCAGCCCACTGGGGAACCCAGCTTTCACAGCACATTAACAGCAATGTAACTCTGCTACCTGTCGTTGCCAAAGGATCTACCCCAGCAGGTAGGTAGAATAACTCTGCACAAAGACATCCCACAGTAGTTTTCCAACCCCTTTACATTTCCACACACTTTAGGTGTCCGATTATTTTCAACATACCCTATGTAATAAGCAAGGGCAAGTCTCCTAGGGTAAATGTGACTGAGAATTGTGTGTGCGGCAGTGGGCAAGTTACTCATGGAGATTATAAATGAGAAGAAACTTTAAAAGGTGAGTGCTTGACTAACATAATAACAAAGTCAAACTATAGAAACTGGGAAATAATAAGGAAAAGGAAAAAGAACAAAGTAAAACTAAAGGAAAGAAGAAATGAGAGGAAGAGAGAAGTCAGAGAGGTGAATCTCTGCCTTGCAAAGAGCTGGTAACACTGGTTTCGTCATGGCAGGGACACTGACCTGTCCACCTTCTCAGTACACTGGCTGAGGAAACTAATGAGAGGCTGGGGTGGCAACCCCAGAACAGACACCATCCGCAGCAACTGCTGGGGGCCCTTATTCACCAAGTCACTTAGTTCTGGCTCTTTCCTCTCATTTTTTAATTTCCTTTTCATTCATTCCCATCCATAAGTTTCACAGAGGCAGCTACCCCTATACCTTTTGATATCACTGATTCTGCATTCTGCTGAATAGAGAGATGAGTGAACAGAGGAAAGCATGTTGCAAATTCACGCAAAGTAAGAACAGCAGTCATTATTGCAGACCTGAGAGAGGTGAGTCACCCACTCTGTACCTGTGCCTCAGTGAGACTTCTGCCCTGACTGCCACTCACTTGAAGGGACTGAAGAGCCAGTGCCGGGACAGGTTATCCATGGAATAGCCTTCCACCCAGTCTGCATCCAGCTTTTTCACACCCGCAATGAAGTACACAATAAAGATCTGCAATCACAAAATATAAAACATTCAAACAACAAAAAAAAGAACCTTGTTTTCTACAGTCAAAAATAAAACAAGTTCTCATCTCAGTTCAGGGACCAAGAAAGATTGGATCCATTCTTCTATTCACTCATCTCAGATATTCACTCATCCAACAAGTTATCTATTGACATCCTACCAATGCCAGGTGCAGTATTAGGCAGCAAAGAATGTCATGAAGCATAGTGGTTACTCTCTCTCTCATGAGAATTCTAATTTGGCAGGGACAAAGCTCTATTCTTTTCATAACAAGGTGAGAGAACCCAGAGATTAGGGGACTGGAAAAAATGGAAAAGCCAACCTAGCATTCCAGCAAAAGGGAAAAAAAGAGAAGCTCCAGGGAGGCAGAGTACAATACAGTCTGGCAGTAGGATGGCTAATGCTGACAATGGCTGTCAAAGAACACCTTCCTCTTTTCTAAAATTCTGTACCTGGCCACGCAGCACAGCATAGTTCCAAAGGGGCACATGGGCATTCCGCTTCTGAGCATTCAGCAGGCCATCCACTGACCTACACCAAGGGAGGTAAGGATTAAGGAAAACTTTTTAGTCCAGCCGCATTTCTATCTTTCTTTTTAAATTAATTATATACCCCAGGGCATCTCTGATATCCTCTCTGATCCTCTAAGCTATTCTGAGGCCCTTTAGAATTATATGAGCAAATTGTAAGTGATTATTTTAACTCATAACAGAAATTTTACTAGTGAGGTATAACAACAAAAAGTTCAGTGCTTACCATTAGTTAGCAAATTAGTTTGTCCTAATGGAATAAATCAGGAAAAAGACTCTAATGCTAGAATATGAATCTGAAAAAGAATGAATCTGAGGTAATGTTTGAAAAACTTAAGGTGCATGTAAATATATATACATAGTGAATTTAAAAATTGTTTTTGTTTGTTTGTTTTTTAGGCAAGGCAACTCTTGGTTGACCTCACAGATTGCAAGGACCTTGTCAGCTTACAATCCCTTATTTTTTACGCCTACAGCACCTGGTCTTCCTAGGTGGTCTCCCATCCAAGTACGAACCAGGCCCGACCCTGCTTAGCTTCCGAGATCAGACGGGATCGGGCTTGTTCAGGGTGGCATGGCCATAGACAAAAAAATTGTTTTCAATATCCAAAACAAACTGACATTTCACAGACCTGGATGCCAGGATCTAGTGTCAGAGGATATCTAATAACAGCCTACCTTGGGAAAGAACTGATAAACCCAGGCTACTAAGTATTTTGAGGAGACAGAAGCAAAGCAGGTTTTAAGACAACGAATGAGCCAAGAGTTGAGACAAGGGCAGTTTACACTGTGATCAAGAGCACTGGAGTCTGCAGTTAAGGAAACCTGTATTCTCACTTGTGCCTCTTATCTGCTATGTGACCTTAGGCAAATCCTTTACTTTTCTAAGCCTAGTGTCTTCGTTTACAAAATGGAAACAGCACTATGGACCTCATGGGGTTGTGATGAGGAAAAATCAAAAGTGATATAGTGCCTGGCATGTGGAAAGCCCTCAGTAAGTGATAGGTATTTTTTCAAATTGTGTAAAAATCATAAAAATGAAACTTTTCAGGAATGTTCTGTCAAAACTGCCTCTTAATTCTCTATGATCAGAGCTGGCCATTCTGAATGAGTTTAAAAATGTACATAATGAGTATTTGTGTGTATTAACGAATGAAACAATGACTAATAAATCAATGACGAATTCAAAATTTAATATTTGTTCCCTATACCCATCTTACTGAGATCTCATATTTGTTTTTCACTTAATGGGATGAATCCTTAAAGGTCATCTGCCTTGCCACCCTGTCTCCAAAGTCCTTCATTTCCCCTGAAAGATTGTCACCTAAGCCAGAGGTGGGGGAGGATTACCTCCTCCCAGGACAGCATTGCTGAGCAGCCCTGGTGGGCCCTCTCCTTATGACATGACTCTGCCTCACAGCAACTTCTACTCTTGGCTCTAACTCTGCCCCCCTGGGTTCGCACAGAGAAAGTCTGCTCCCTCTTCGCATGACCACCCTTGAAGTATCTGAAAACAGCTATGTCTGGCTTTAGTCTTCTCTTCTTCTAAGAGGATTACAGGAAGTAGATATATCAAGGTACCTGGGGAGATATGGAAAGATTAAGGGGTAGGAATGGAGCCATTTTGCTTTTTGTTATCCGAAGTACTTCAATCTCTCTGACCCTTCTTCCCAAATCTATCCAAATCAAAGTGCAACCTTGTAACCACACTTTGCAAATCATGGTTGAAAATATGCTTCCTGGGGCAAATTCTAGGACCTCAATGGGCCCCTATCTCTAGTAACCCTCCTGACCCAGCTAACCCCTCCCCTTTTCTCCCCTAGATTCATACCAGTAGCGGTTTGCATCCATGAACGTCAGCTGAAAGGCCAACAAACCATACAGATAGGAGTGGTTGTTCCATGATGTCTTGTCCAGGAGAAACACATACCAGTATGGCAGTAGGAATAACACACAGCTTATCCGGTAGCACAGGCCCAGCATCATACCCAGTGCCCCTGGGATTTGTGGGAGAGAAGATTAAGAAATCGGAGAGTCACCACAGACCCAGCTCCCCTGGGACAGGCTGTGGGTGAGATTAAGGTCATCAGACATATTCAAGTAAAACTAAATAAAAATTAAATATTATTTTTAATATTTTTAAAAAGAGTTATGGGGTCACAGCTCAGATGACACGTGGGTCAGAGGATGAAATTATGAGTCACAGTAGAAGTGAATTAAGAAACCCAAGACCTTGCTCATTCACCAGCATGCTTTGTATTTCTGTGTTGTAGGTAGACCAGTCAATACTCCCATCTCTCCCACAGTTTGCCTCACCCAGAAACATGATGGTATAGACAAGATACATCCAGTCAAGTGGCAGGGGCTGCAGGGCATCCAGCAAGGGGAAGCGGCACACGTCTAGCCCATCCAGGTATCTTCGGTCCAAGGAGCTGAGCCCCCGCTCCTGGGGAATGTCCAGCACCATCAGCAGCCCTGAGAAAGCAATCGAGGAGGGGGCTGTTAGGCCTCAGCAAAGGAAGCAGTGAAATGTAACTGAATACAGTCCAGTGCACCCAGCTCCAGGGTCAGACTTCTTTCCTAACCCTGGCTGTGCCATTTATTCATTCATTCAACAGAAATAACTGAGTGCCTACTCTGTGCTAGGCATTATGACAGTTGTGTGAACAGCCACTGCATCTCACTGAGCCAACTCCCCATTTGTAAAAAGGGGCTCATAATATTTTACAGGGTTATCGAGAGAATTAAATGAAAGAAGCATATAAAATGTTATAAGCTGTTAAGATTTTGATAGTTACATTTATAAAGGTCTGTCCTACTAGGCTACAGAAAGTACTCTAGAGTGGTGCTTCTCAACCTTTTCCACTTCCTGGCACACCCAGAAAACAGCAGTAATTGGCCAATACACTGGGGTAAACAGAAGGGTCTACTTGGGTCAAGAAGCCAGCTCCCATAAAGGTAGGGTTTCACAACCTCAGGACTATTCACATTTGGGGCTGGTTAATTATTTGCTAGGAGGGGCTGTGCTGTGCATCATAGGTCAGTGAGTATCTCTGGCTTCTAAATAGCTGCCAGAAGCCACCCTTCCCCCCAGCTATGACAAATTAAATTGTCGATAGGCATTGCCAAATGTCCCCCCCCTGGGAAAACAAAAATGCCCCCAGGTGAGAACTCCTGGGCTAAGGGGATTAATATCTCAGCACATATGTAATCCATTCCAAGCAAACATGCTGTGGCCTAAGAGTAAGGAAGCTCTAGATTAGGGAGTCACAGCCAAAATGTTGACCCTGTCACGCCTGCCATTTCTCTTAAGTCTAGTTTTTAGCATAGTTACTGGGCAACTTCATGGCACATGGGTCCTTGATCCTCTGCCTCTGTATTTTCTACAGCATCAGATCAAAGCATCCTGGTCTCCAAACCCTAATCAGAGGAGACAAAGCTGCGTTTGATTCTAAACTCCAGGATCTTCAGCGCTGAGAAAAAGGGAGGTAAGTCCATTAAATAAGTAAAGTAACTGAGAAACAGACAAAAGTGTTGTCATTCTCCCACTCGAACCACACTGGCCTCTCTCAGAAAGTGGACTTACCAAAGAGAAAACGGAAGACGGCCAGGCTTGCAGGATCTGTTGGTCGATTCAGCAGGGTCACCAGCCTCCCCCAGCTGGACACATCTGTCCACTCAAAACCAAACAGTTTCCCCATGCGGCTGGGCTGACTGGGCTCTGAAGTCTGTCCAGCCTTGTCTTTCTCTACTTTATCTGCAACCAATAAATGGACAAAGTGTGTATGCGTGTGTGGTGTGATGGTACTTTAAAACAGGCTCCTCTCCAAATCACAGAAATCCCAGCCACAACGGCCCCAGGGCTTCTACCTGGGTTCTCCCACTGAACTGGCTACCGGGAACATTCGTGCAGTGCAGCCCCTCCTCCAGGATCCTCCAATGCCCCAGAACCTTTATCAGACTACAGCCCCCTAATCGCTAATCCACTGTCACCATCATCCCAAAGCCGCAGAATGTAACCTTTCTGTACAAGCCCCTTCCCAATGGAGGCCCCCTTCCCCAGGTACCACAGGGCAGACCTCCCACCCCTGCCCCTCTGAGACCAGAGCCCCCTCACTCTCTCCACTGCAGGCGGGGCTCTGCGCCTACCTGAGCCGGGCGGGGCCCGCGCGGACTTGGCAGACGTCGCCATGGCTCTGAGGAGGTAAGTCAACCACAGCCGCACTGTCGGAGCTAGGACCGTCGCGAGGGGCCGATCCCTTAAACCCCGCCTCCCGGACACATCAGCACGGAGCGGCCGGCCGAAAAGCGCCAGAACTGTCGTGAAGGGCCCTAGCTGGCGGCACCAAGCTCCGTGCTTGGCGGCAGAGGACGTAGCGAGGGCCCGTGGGACGGATTGGTGCGGGCGCAAAGGGGCGTGGGGACGCTTGGTCTCAGCTGGTGACGGAGGAGGCGCGAGGATGTCCCCTGGATCCTACCTCCTTCTGCCGCAAGAACCATCTAGATATTGAGGACTCCCGAGCCCCCTCCGCTCTCAACCTTGTTCTCAAGACTCGGAGTTCCCGCGACTTCCCTCCCCGCCCCATTAGGCCTCTCCAGGTTGTTGTGTCTGCAGTGAGCTGTGCGGGAGCTAATGTCAGACTCTCTGTCAGAGAGTTTGACCACCGAATTGAGAACTCACCTGGAAGGGCTGCCAGGCGTAGAGAGAGTGTGAGTTCCTTTATTCTCTCTCCCAGTACCTGTCAAGAACCAGGGGCTTGAAAACAGCAGGGGAAACCAGAACATGACTGAAGAGGGGATGCCGAATAGGGGCAGTGAGCAGAGTGGAAGATTTTTAGGGAGGCGAGTTTTGAACAGGACTGTATTATCTTAATTCTCTGCACTGAGATTGGCTAGCAGGATAAGAGGAAAGCATCCTAGAACAGCGGTTCTCATTTTTTAATTTCAGGACTCCTTTGCACTGCTATATCTTACTGAGAACCTTAAAGAGCTTTTATTTATGTTGGCTACATTTTTCCGTATGTACCATGTTGAGAAATGTTTAAAATATGTATACATTCAGTAAAAAGTAATCAACCCATTGTTAAATAAGATTTTTATGAGTAAAAGTATATTTTCCAAAAAAAAAAAAAAGCATGAAGAGTGGTATGTATTGTAAATCTTATTACTGTCTGGCTTGTTTGAAGACAGCTGGATTCTCATATCTGCTTCTGCATTGGATCTGTTGAAAAGTGGTGTTGACTGATAAAAATATAAGAAGGAAATCTGGCCTCACAGATACATAGTCGGAAACGGAGAAGCATTTTAATGGCCTTTTAGATAATTGTGTATATGTTTCTTTGATACCACAGCTAAACTTGCAAGTGATAGTTTTTTAAAGTTAGACGTGGAATCTGAAACCATATCAATGAACTTTATGCTCTATTACATTAAAAACATTTGTATATCTTGCACTTCGAATGGACATTTACTCATGCATGATATTGTAATATCATGATATTGTAATATCATGCATGGGTCATTTGGAAAACATTGTTTCATTGAGTTGCGCAACTCTTCCAAACTCAGTCTCTTAAGTGCTGCCAAGCTCACAGTGGCAGATACAAGTTTTCCAAAATTCTAATTTTCACTTGAAAACTCAAATTTTATCATTGGCAACACAAATACTGTCTATTGTTTCTTGAACAGGCTCCCTTCTTTCCTCTTTTGGGGAAATATCTGCCTAATGTGCCAGTTTGAATAACCACAGTTTGTCATCTGATGTCCTTTCAAGTAAAATAGTGCTTCATTTATTAAAAGGAAATAAAAAAAACGAAGATACCCGACATCTTATTTTATTAGGGAATTGCAAATTAAAACAATGAGCTACCTGTTAGAATGGTTGAACTCCAAAGCACTGACAACAAATGCTGATAAGGATGTGGAGCAACGGAAATGCTCCTTCATTGCTGTTGGGAAAACAAAATGGTAGACACTTTGGAAGACAGTTGATCAGTTCCTTACAAAGCTAAACATATTCTTACCACATGATCCAGCAATTACGCTCATTGGTATGTACCCAAATGAGTTGAAAATGTATGCCTACACAAATGTATAGTAGCATTATCATAATTGTCCAAACTTGGAAGCAACCAAGATGTCTTTCAGTAGGTAAATAGATAAACTGTGACATATCCATACAATGGAAAATTGAGTGATAAAATGAAGTTATGAGAACGTAAGTGACTCCATCTTAAAGCTAATCTGCCATCTTGACATCTGGGTGAACCCAGACCCATGACAACTTTTCCTTCCCCTAGACGAGCTTTGAAATACATACATAGAGCTCCGGGCTGATCGATCACAAGACTCCCCTTAATTCTCTTTCTGGAGACAGGTGCCCTAGATGTTTCCCTAAAGGCTCCTTGATCCCTTTGGTCATCTACATATTCTCACTGCTTTTGGAATCGGGGGAGGTGTGGGGATCCATTCGTCTTGTATCCATTCATCTTGTTGCCACCTGAAATTGCTTCCTGTATGTAATGTAAGTACCCTATTAAACTCTAAACCAACAAGCTGGACCTGTTTGCCTCATTCTTTGGCTTATTGGCCCCCTTGGAATTTGGAGGCTGCTTTGCATACATGGTCCTTTCACAAAACAGCTATCAAGCCACTAAAAGACATGGAGAAATCTTAAATATATATTGCTAAGTGCAAGAAACCAATCTGAAAAGGCTATATATTGTATGATCCAAAATGTATGATGTCTTGGAAAAGGCGGAATTATGACAATAGTAAAAAGATCAGGGGTTGTCAGGGATTGAGGAGAGGGAGGATGAATAGGTGGAGCATGGGATTCTTAGAAAAGTGAAACTATTCTGGATGATAATATTATGGTGTCATGGTACATATATGACATTATATGTTTGTCAAAGCCCATAGACTGTACAACACAGTGAACTATGTGTAAATATGTGAACTATGGAATTTGTTAATATATCAATATTAGCTCACTAATTATAATAAATGTAAGATGTTAATAGAAATGGGAAGAGTATGGAGAGGTGTATGGGAACTGTACCACTCCCCCTCAAAAAGTCTGTTACTTTAAAAACAAAGGTTGGTTCAGCTTGCAGTTTAATTGCACAAATTCTTTTTCTTAGAACAACTGTGAGAAAACCAACATACTTGGGTAGACAGAAGTGCTGTATACATATTTCTCATTTCTTCACATAAAATAGTAAAAAGATGTGTATTCGAGTTAATAAAATTAATAATTTGTACTGCTTCACTAAGAATGTTCTTAATCAAAAATGGCATTTTTAAAAATTGCAAGTGCACAGCAGGAAGGAATACAATGACTACTACTACAATTGGTGTCACTGTCTCATTCTGCTAAGTTGTCAACAGTTTTACCCACCATTGCTTTTGCATCATCAGTGCAAGTGTCAACATAGCTAAAAAGGCAAGTAACATCTCAGTATTATTATAGAAGTAGATTTGTCCTTGACTTGAGGTTGTTCATGGACCATGTGCTGAGAACCATTATCCTAAAAAGAATGCCAAGGGTAGATGTAAAAGTAAGGATTATTGGAGACAGATGAGTTTGGCAAGTGGAATCACTGGGCTAACAGTGTTCCTGCTGTTGAGAGTCTGGCCCACTTCTAGAAAATACTAACAGGCAAGGCAAGCCAAATCACTTTGGAATCCTTAGATCTATTTAGGGGATGGATCTCCTAATCCACAGCCAAACCCCGGTACAAATGAATTCAGTGTGAGCTGGAAGTTTGAACTAGCTCTTCTAGGACCACTCAAAATCAGATGGTTCCATTAAGTTCAGCATTTATGGTCTGTTATGTGCCAAGAACTGGACAAGTTACAGAGGAGGAAACAAGTTATGGCCTCTGTCCTATAGAAATTTAAGGGTAAGGAAGCAATACCAAGAGAACATAGAAATAACAGAATAATAATAGAATGTAGAAAATATTAAGTGAATTTCAAAGCGAGAAAGATGAATTATGACTGGAGAAATTGGGAAAGTTTTTTCAAAAATTGCTGGGCTTTGAATGATTACAATTTTGAAAGAGAAAGAAATCAAAAGTTCTTAATAGTCTCGGGTAAACAGAACATTCTGGGTGAGAGAAATACAGCTAATAAATGAACACCTTTCATCCCATGATTTTAACCTGTTTTTGTTCAAGGGGTTGATCTCTAGTTTACCCTTTCAGGATGAATATATAAAGACTCATGGCATTTAGTATTCATTTATCCATAAAGTAGTTCAAAATTTAGGAAAGAAATTTCTTCATGGGTCTTTTCTAATAAAAATTATCTTGCCCTCTGTCTGCACTGCAGAGAAAGAAGCCCTCTTTCAGGTCTCTCAATTCAATACCCTAGACATTTAGTGAGTGCCTACCATGTGCAGGGTATATGTTATTTTCTACAAAGGGTACTAAAGTAAAGACACAGACCCTGCTTTCACAAAATTTAGAGTCTTGGAGGAGTCAAATGGGTATGCAGTTAATGGCAGAGCATATTATAGATTCTCTAAAAGATAAAATGTGATGGAGATCACAAGGAAGAAGTTAACTTCAGTGGAGAAATCTGGAAGGCTTCATGGAAGCAATGTCTTAAATATGAATAGACTTTCCACAGGCAGTGATGAGTGAACCAGGATATTCACTCATCATGAGAAAGGTCCACTTGAGCAAAGATATAAAAGGGGATGGTCTGTGTTGGGGAAGAGTGTGTAATTTGATATGACGGAGGTCTGAAAAGTGAGTGTTAGGGGAGATAAACTTGGAAAAGCATGTTGAGAAGGGTCTTAGAATGCCAAGCTTCGGGGTTTGGGCTTTACCCTGGGGGCAGGGTGGAGTGAACTCAAATCTGTGTTTTGAGAAGATAAAAACTGGAAAGGATGAGAAAAGAAAGGTCACTTTGGAGGTTGGTGAAATTGTCCAGAGAAGAGTTCATGCTCCCAATAAAGCAGGAGCTGGTTTGGAAAGGAGGGGCTAAGTATGAGAGACATGACCAAGATGGATTCAAGACCTAGTGAAAGTTCATGCTCTCAATAAAGCAGGAGCTGGTTTGGAAAGGAGGGAGAGACATGACCAAGATGGATTCAAGACCTAGTGATATCTTATGTAGGATGCATATAGTAGGATGACTTAGGATTTTGTAGGATGACTTAGGAATTTCTCACTTGGGAAACTGGTAGAATGGGAGTACTTACTAGGAGGAGGAACATGGGGAAAAGATAAAGGGATTGGATTGGCTGTTGGGAGTGTCTATGGACTGTCCAGGGCAGTGGAGAGGCAGCAATGACAACCAAGAGGTCAGGGCTAGAGATACAGATTTGAGGACACATCAATGGCTGTTAAAACTGTAAAGGTATTGCACTTCCCTAGGAAGACCAGGGTTTCTCAACCTTAGCACTATTGACAGTTTAGTCTATATAATTCTTTGTTGGGGGGTGGGGTTGTCCTTTCCATTGTAGGAAGTTCAATATTCTTGGCCTCTAGTCACTATTTGCCAGTAGCACACACCATCTCTTCACTCACAACAGCTGTGGTCACCGAAAATGTCTCTAGACATTGTCATGTGTCCCCTGGAGGGCAAAATCAACCTCATAGAGAACTGCTGCTGCTCCAGGAAAGTGCAGTCAGAAGATGGCCAAGGGTAGGACATTTGGGTTCTAAGGGCACTGTCAGAAAGGAAGAGAAAGCATTGGAAGAGATGAGGGTGACTGTGTCACTGATGGGGCGGCCGGTAGTGTAAAACAGTTTACGAAAGGAGTTTAGAGACAAAAGAGGCCTTGGTAGTGGTGAGAGCTCTATGATCTTCCAGGGAGCAATTCCAATCGAGCTTCCTGAATGTGCCTTTTCCTTGTTTTCTAGTCTTTTCCCTAAGAGGTACAGGAGAAAATGGCCCACTTGGGTCACAAATAAGAAGACTGGAATATATGCCAGTGTACCCCAAAGTTTGTACAGTCGCTTTGCAGGCTGTTAATATTTCTTTTACCCTATTTCCTTATTCCATTTTCTCTATTCATTTCCTTTTTCACTTGTAGAGTGCTTTAGCAGAAATACAGAAATTATACCCATGTCATTTAATACCAATAATAACCCTGTAAAGCAGCTTTCATTCTTATTTCCATTTTCCAAAGCTCCCAGAGGGAAGTAGCCTGCCCAAGACTACATGAATAGACAGTAATACAGCTGACTCCCAAATCTGATCACACAGGGACTGAGAACAATGTTGATCACACCATCCTTGCTTCTTTGGCTGCAAGTCCTGCCACTTACAAAGTCACCGACACTCTATTTTTCCTGGGATAGATATTCCTTGACTTGTTTTTTGTCTTGCATCTTGCCCATGGTACCATTTCTGCTCATAGCCTATAGTTCGGCGCCTTACGGAACATCTCACTTTGTGAGGGTGTTAACCAGGTGGTCTTCTGACAAAAGGTAACATTGTAATGTTTGCACAGGTAAGGCCAAGCCCATAGGCATTCTGCATGGTGAAGATGAGGGTAAACAGATCACAGGCCCAACTGTGGGCACTTTGGAAGCTCCCTAATGGTTGCTGGGTCTAGGCCAAGGGTCAGTTCCCATAGGACACCGAGGTATGTTTTAGTCTGTCAGAGGTGCACCAGACCCCAGTAACCCTTCAACTATTGTAACCTTGACTCCCGTCCTGGGGACCTTCCTCCATTGCTTCCTGCTCTCCTCAGACATCCTACTCTGGCCTTTTGTTTCTTGGCACCTCTCACTTTCCCCTATCCAAGACCTCACTTAGCATCTAGAACTCTTAATAATAGTAACCACCGTAGCCACCATTAACTGAGGATTTTCTAAGTGCTAGGTACAGAAAATGAGGTAACTAAGACTTAGCAATGTAACGGAAGTTTTTCCAGAGTCACATAAATATTACGGTATAGAGGAGAGAGGGGTTGGGGGGCTGGGAGAAAGGGGTGAAGGGCTAAAGAAATATAAATTAGTAGTTGATAGATGGTCATGGGGATGGGGAACACGGCATAGGGAATGCAGTGGCAGTAATGTAATGGCTAGGTAGAGAGCCAGGGGAGAGAGAGCAATCAGGGGATTGTTTTATAAACTATATAAATGTCTAACCAATGTACTGTATATTTGAAACTAATAATAGAATAAAATTTTAAAAAATTAAGGTATTAGATCAGCTTGTCTAATAGAAATGTAATTTGAGTCACATTTGCAATTTAAAATTTTCTACTAGCCAAATTAAGAGAAAGGAAATAGGTGAAATTAATTTTATCAATTTTTTTATTTAACTTAATATATTCAAAACATTCATCGACATGTCATCAATAAACAAAGTTACTAATGGGACTTTTATGTCCTTTTTTTCATAGTAAGTCTTTGAAACTCAGTGTGCATTTTACTCTTACATCACATCTCAATTCGGACTAGCCACATTTTAAGTGCTCAGCAGCCACATGTGGCCAGTGTATTAAACAGCACGAATGCAGATCAAGATTTCTGATCCACCTCCACTTGACCACACTGTAGCCTTTCTAAGGATGGTGGAGAGTGGGGCAGCCACATTCTCTGTGAAAGCAGGGTGGAAGTGCACAAAAATTCAGGCCTGCAAAATATAACAATCTTATCTACTTGGGGATAATATTTCATCATAAATAGAATAAAATGTCTCAAGATGCTATAGAGTTCCAAAATGTATTAGACCCTTTAAAAAGTATTTGTTAGAGAAGCTGACATTTCCCCCTTGGAACTGTTACTTCTAGGATGGGACAAAATGTTTCTCTCCTTCTACATGTCTCTGTTATTACTCTTCTGTCTTGATAAACACCATCTGGGAAGAGTGGATTTTCTGTGGCCTGGCGCCAGGTTGGTGGAGAAATCTTTAGCCCAGGCCCCCCTCTCTGGTCCATAAGGCCTCTAACCTTTTGTGGCTGGGCTCACCTACCCTGGTGGTGGCCATTGAAGGGAAATGCAAGTTTTGAACTCTGATTCACGCAGGGGATAGTCCTTCATTCCAAGCACTGTGCTAGGCATGGTGCCTGTGCTCTTTTACTTACCACCACTCTCGTTAGCACCTGCAAGAGCCAGAGAGGTGAAGAGGTTCACACAGTGAGTCACCCAGAGCTTTCCCACACAGCATTCCAGACTTTTCTGCCCACACTGGGACATAGGAGCCAGGGTCATCCAGCAAGACATGTTCATGCCTCCTTTCTGCTTCCATGTGAACTAGGCCTGGCAGGCTGCTTACGGTTGATCTCAGTCTCTAGAAATTGCAGTCAGATATTCAGGACATAAAAAATAGGAGCCAGCTGCCCTTTCTATATCAGAGGGTCTACTAGCCTCAGGACACCTGGGAGGGCTGCCTTCTCTTTCTTTTCTGGTTTCTGACGAGTTAGAAGACTTTGGATGTCAGGGAGCCCTATTGCTTTAAGCCTAAACCCTTGTTTGGGAGGCGACTGGAAGGGCAGTGGAGAGTGCCCGCCTACCTGGGGAAACCTGCGTGAGGTGTGGCTGGATCTGCTCGGGATTCCGAGGTGGGCGGGGGCGGGCTGAAAGTTGGAGCAAGCAGGAAGTGAACCGCCGGCCGCCCTGGGAGGAAACAGACTAGGCGAGTTCTGCTGCTGACAGGCCTGAGCTTCTGAGACATGGTGAGAGAGCGGGGAACTAGAAAGGGGCTGATTTAAAGGCGAGCCAGAGGGGGCCGGGGATCAGGAAAGGGGAGTTGGTGGCAAGTCAGAGGGCTGGGCCAGCGCTGCCAGTGGCCTCTCTTCGACAACTGGCTGCAGATAGCTCGAAGCTGCCAGAGCTGGTGTTCCTGCTCCTTCTCTACTCCCTTCCTCCCTTGACTTCTTTGCTGGCCTGGAGCAGGGCTTCGGTGGGGGTGGGGGATCCGAATTCTAGGCATGGAGCTGCCCAGTGGCCCTTCATCTCCTCCTCCAGTCCTCTCCCCTAGACCAGCTGGGTGTTGCGACATTCCTGGGCAGCGCTTCTGCTGTTCCAGTGTAGATTCTAGCCCAGCGGCTGGACCTCCCCCAACCGCGTTTCACTTTATTCCTGTACAGAAACCCAAAGAATTTGTCTCGCTACCCAGTTCAAGGAATCGGCCCTCTTTCCATAAACATGAGGAAGAGCTAAGGGTTTGTAAAAGAACCAGAAGTTGGTTCCTCGTGATAATTTAGTTTGGACCCACACCGGAGCCCATTTCTGGAGATCCAGTGGGTTAGGGAAGGGAGGAGCTTAATAATGTTTTTCCCTCCCTGTTCAAAAACCTTATCATGAAGCCTCCAGGATGAGGCTTTAAGCTGGGAGGACTTGCCTTCCACTTCCCCCAAAGCCCAGGCTGCTGGTTTTATTTAATAACTGCTTAAGCGGCTATGGTTTGGTGTCTGCACATGGTGCTAAATGGTGGGAGGAAAGCAGAAGTTTGTGGCCCAACGGCTCTCTCTCATGGGGCCTTGTGAAGGACTTGGAGCCTAGTTGCTGGTGCTCTGGGTCACAGCAATTAGGCTGCTAAGGAGGCCAGGGCAGAAGTAGCTCTCCAGCTGCGTCTTGGGGAGAGGGAGGGTTAGGTCAGGTGAGGGTGCTCTACTGGCCAGCACAGGCATTTTTAATGAGGACCCTGTTGGATCTGGGAATTGGGAAATGGTGGTGGGGTTCTGCGTTGTGAGAAGCTAGCTCAACTGTCTTCTCTGATGCTCTTTGAGGAGCAAGGAAGCAGTGGGCAGGGCTTTAGCGGTGTTTCTTTTCCTCGTCAGGGGCCCTGAGGACCTGAAAAGATATTTGATCTAGTCTAGCACCAGGGGCTTACGGATGCATTTATTTTTTATTATGAGTAGTGCACGAAAACATTCTCTTTGTAAACAGTTCAAGCATTACAAAAGGCTGAAGTCCATCTTAGACCTTCCCCTCCTCTGGCCTCCAATGCCGAGTTTCAATTCCTTCACTATTTGGCCTAATTAACCACTGCGTTGCTGCCCAGGAGGAGGCCAGTGGAGGTGGAGGAAATGATCGAGTGCGGAACCTGCAGAGCGAGGTGGAGGGAGTCAAGAATATTATGACCCAGAATGTGGAGCGGATCCTGGCCCGAGGAGAAAACTTGGACCATCTCCGCAACAAGACAGAGGATCTGGAAGCCACAGTGAGTTGGAGAGCCCCCTGGGGGCAAGAGGAAGAGAGGGAGGAAGAATCTTTGGGGATCTGGCGGTTGGTGGTGTTGGAGCAAAATGAACAGAAGGGAAGACTGCCTCTTCAGCTGTTTTGGGAATTAATATGAGCTGAGTCCCCACTTATGATTCTGTTCTACCCCACTGACTGATACTGGGGTCCAGTAATGGGTCTTGTGACAGGGGTTGGGAGGTGAGGGCTGACCCATGGAGCCATTTTCTGAGACAAAAAGATGGTACAGTGAACCCAGGCATTCTTAGGCTTCTCTCCTAGAAACTGATTTTCCCTTTTGAAGTCTCTCCTTTACAATTATTTGAACCTGATCTTCCCAGGGCAAAGTATTGGCTCTGGAAAATCGTCCTAGGGTCTTTGGCCTGCTCCAGGAGTTATTATGCAGGGGGCGTAAAACTGCTAGTGAATTGCTGAATCAGGTTAAAAAAATGCTGGGAAGAGCAGTGAAATTCTTTGATGGGATCCTCTGCTAGCTGAAGGCTAGAATAGTATCTTCCACATATCTTGCTGGACCTCATTCTTCTCTTTCCAGCCAGGGGCAGAATCCAGCTGCTCATAGAGGGGGTGACTCTAAAGTTCAATAAAGGCTGGAGCTTAAGTTTTCATGTCCACAGGGAGACACTGGCTGCGGCTTTCTGAATCCTGCATGTAATCTTGGGCATAGCTTCTTTGTTTCCCTGAGACTCAATGCTTCTTTCCACAGCCTAACCTGGGGAGCATGGCCCAGTGTAACTTAGTTTCTGCAACTCCAGTTTGGAAAGGAAGAGCACTTCCCCTCACCTCCTCCAGCTTTAGCAGTCCTCATAGGGCAAGGACTCATGGAACCAGGAGACATACCCACCTGGAGCCTGTCTTCTTTTCCAAGGGTGGATTGTGCTGCCAGTGTTGCACTCCTGGGTGTGAGCATGTGTAAAAGGCCCCTCAATGTACATGGCGGTACAGGGGTAAGAAGAGAAGGGGCCAGGCAGGGGGCCAAAGGAAGCCCAAGAATTCTAGGAAGCCCAAGAATTCTAAATTTAAACTTGGCCCACCAGATGGTTATGAAGGTATATTTGTCAAGGTAGGAGGACAGGACATTTTTTATTTAACAGCCTGTTACCTCAGTGTATCACTTACATACTTAGATATATGGCATGTAGGCCTCTGCTTGTACTCTTGTTCCAGTGGAAGGAGGCACTGAGTCACTCTCTACCTTATCTCTACAGTCTGAGCACTTCAAGACAACTTCGCAAAAGGTGGCTCGGAAGTTCTGGTGGAAGAACGTGAAGATGATTGTCCTCATCTGCGTGATTGTTTTTATCATCATCCTCTTCATTGTGCTCTTTGCCACTGGTGCCATCCCCTAAGTAACTTAGGGAACCCCTCCCGCCCTGCCCTCTTCCTCAGGGCAGCCCTCCATGGTGGGTGCCAAGAGGGGCCCTCTCTCTCGTGTCCTTCCCCACAGGGAATGCTGCTTGATCCTCCAGCCCCTGACTCTGAGGCCCTCTGCCACGTTGTCTGCCCCAGGGAGTACCTTGGTTCCTAGAAGGAGAGAGCTGGATTGTGACTGCATTTCATGGGTCCTCAGAGTTCACTAGAGAGACCCAAAGGGCCCAGCATGTTTCTGGGACACTGATAGTGACTGGTAGGCAATAAAGACTCTTTAGTATCCCTAAGTTTGTGAGGTGCTTCCTCCCTTTGCATTTGGCCTTTGGCCCTATTCTCCCTGAAGACACCCCCTGACTGAGATTCTCCCATTTGTGGCCCGAGTTGTTGGAGGGGTGGAGAGCAGATGTTCTAAGAATGACATAACCTTCCTGTCTCTCTTTATTCTCTTTTTTCATTCATTGTCACAGGTCTCAAGAAAAAAATTCTGGGAGTCTTGGCATATGGAAAGTTCAAAACCCTCACAGCATTTTAGGATGGTATGCAAGACTTCTAAGTGTACCCCTTGGGTCTTGCCATATCCCTTTATTACTTTTCTGCTGGAAGCATTAGCTGCGACATGGGGCCTACCTGCACTGAGCATTCAGAATTCTGGTTAAGGGCCTCTAGCCTCTCCCATCATTGCCATTTCTCTTCTGTGGCCCTGTTGTCTATGGTGGGGGGTGGGGGTCAGAGGAACAGGACTGCTTTTCCTTCTCTTCCTTCTGCAAGTTCTATTTGTCTTTTGTTTGCTTCTGCCCTTCAAGGATTTAGCAGGGCCTCTGGGTCTGAGCTGTCCTAAAGGGGCAAGCATCTCTTCCCCATGTCCCGTGGCTGAGCACAGTCAGTGTCACAGGACAGGGCCCATGGCCCTCTTTCCTCTCCATGTACAATGGGACTCTCTGTCTTTGAGCCTCCCTCCTCCCCACCAGGTTCCACTGTCATTGTGACTCTTTCCAGTGCCCAGTCTGCCTTGGTTTGGGGGAAGGGTTCTTGCCATCTCTGTCCCTATTTACTCCATAGCTTTCCAGAATTGAAAACAACATGTTTTGGGGATGGAGTGCTGAGGGGCAGCGTTGGGAAACAGGATTTGGGACTAGTACTGGGAAGTCAGGTGCTGGAATCATGCTCTAAAAACTGGGGAGGGAGGAAGAAAGCACAGAAGAGACTCTGGGCAGTCTGCCACAACTATGTCTGTCCTCTCCTCAGTCCACTCCTGGACTCTAGGACCAAGGAACTGGGTGAAACCTCTTCCTGGGGCCCCAGACCTTTCATGGTGGGGGTGGGGGTCTGTGCTCACAGGGGCTCAACCCCAGGGAGGGGAACCCTCAACCCACTTCCTCAAGAGGAGCCACATTTGAGATGTTGGGGGTGGAAGGGGTGGGGTGGAGAACAGGTGACTTCTCTGCAGCAGTGAGAGGAGAGGATGAAGATGGGCAGATTCAGCTCAGGAAGGCTCTGGAGGGGCAGTAGACACACCAGCCTCATCCATCCTCTGAGGAGCAGGGTCATATCAGGGCAGGTCTGCCCTTGCCCTTTGGGAAAGAGGGAACTACAGAAAAGCTAGAGCTGGCATCTTTCCCATGACTCTCTTGTTTTCTTTCTTAATTGTGGTGAAGTTCACATAATTACAATTGACCATTTAAAAATATACAATTCAGGGCAGGTAGAGCATTTACAATGTGTAGAGTGAATAAACTTTATGGGGGTTGGTTTTTGCTTATGAGTGAGATGCACTCCCAAAGGTGGCGGAGACCCAGCTGTTCAAGGTGTCTCCAGTGCCTAGCGCTGTGCTGGACAACACACTCATTCGGTTGCTTGTCGAATGAATGAATTATGCCTCCTTAGGTAAGGCTGATCTACCTGATCTTGGACACAGCCCCAGAGAGGCCTCTCTGAGTCCACTCCAGAGCCCACTCCACTGTGCCCATTTCACAGATTGGGCCCCCAGGTGTGGGGGCGGCTAGTGCCAGGCTGCTCAGGCGTGGTAGCCCCAATTCACAAGGCTGGTAGCTAGCAGGCCATGCGAAGCTGGTAGCTAGCAGCCCGGGAGGAGGCGCCCTAAGGACCCCAGTCGCTGTTGCTGACTGCTTTCGATTTGAACTTGGCCCGGTCGCTGCTCAGAGAGAGTGCCCCCACTCCACCCCGCCCCCGCTCCGCCCCTCTGCTTCCTCCCAGGCTCTGGGCCCTGCAGCTCTTCTGGCAGAGGAGCGGGAGCAGGCCAGGCAGCAGCAACGATGGTGAGGGCCCGGGCGGGGCGGGGCGGGGCAGGGCGGCCGGGTTGCGGGCAGAGGGCGAGCAAGAGGGGGGTGCGAGACAGGAGTCCGAAGTCCAAGGGTGGGGGCACCCTCCAGGACACATGCCGGTGCCCCGTCAGGTGATTGCTCCAGGAGCAGGGCCGGGGCTAGACCCATGCAGCCTGGGAAGGAAAGTGCGGTGTGAGCCTGGTCCTGGCTGCCTCGCCGGGGCAGGGCGGCCGGGTTGCGGGCAGAGGGCGAGCAAGAGGGGGGTGCGAGACAGGAGTCCGAAGTCCAAGGGTGGGGGCACCCTCCAGGACACATGCCGGTGCCCCGTCAGGTGATTGCTCCAGGAGCAGGGCCGGGGCTAGACCCATGCAGCCTGGGAAGGAAAGTGCGGTGTGAGCCTGGTCCTGGCTGCCTCGCGCGGAGTGAGTGCGATTCGCTTCCATTTCCTTGAGCCAAGTGGTTACGAGCTCCAGCCTCAGTAAGGCTGAGATCCTGGTGGTGGCCACTTACCGGCTCTATGACCCCGGGGCAAGTCATTTAACTTTCCTAAGCCTCCTTTTCTGCATCTATGAAGTGGAGTCAGCAAAACCTCCCTGCTGGGTTCGTAGGAGGTTAAAGGAGGTACAGTGGCAGAGTCCTGCCTGGCACTCAAAGACTGCACCTGAGAAGTGGCAGGTACTGTGATGATGATCCCTTCAGCCCTTCCTGGGGCTTTAAGGAGCCACAGTTGGCGGGGGAAGTTGGAAACCTGAACAGATGGGGTGGTGGAGGCTGACCTCGCTCATGGCAGGCTGTTGGAGGGGAAAGAAAGGAAGATGTTTACCTTAAAAATTCCACTGATGTTATCAGAGTGTGGCATAGGCCTGACTCCCTCCTAACCGCTGTTTAGGATCACATTCCTGAACTGAATCATCCAGCACTCCTGCTACAGACCCTGGCCTCTGTCTCTACTTGCCACCTTCAAGGCAAAGGTGTTAGGAACAGGTGGTGCGCCCCCTCCCCCTGGGAAGGTGGGTCCTGCAGGAAGCAGGCTTGGTGTTTTAAGATTCTGCTGTGGAGAAGCTGGCAGAGGTGTGATGGAAGGGCCCGGCTAGGGGTCGAGATGCCTGGATGGCCTCATCTCCAGGAAACTGGAGTCAGTCAGAGGAAGCTGGGCAGGAAGGTAGTGCTGAGCTCTAAGGCTTTGCCAGGAAACTGAGGGAGGCTCTGAGACTGGAACAGCTCAGAGCCCACTTCCCAGTGCACAGGACAAGAGATCAGGCAGGGCTAGGGGTGGGCTTCCAGCTGGTCCTTAGCACTTGGGAGAAGAAGAAACTCCTGAAACGAAGACTGAGGCCAGGACAATTTATTGGGGGTACTGGAAAACTCTGGGACTCTCACTTGAGACAAATAGTGGATCAGAACCTCATCGATCTCTCTCCTCCACCCATCTCTTAGCCTCATTCTTTAACTCTTGCCCCTTT